GCAGTAGAGTTTCCCTGGTGTTGGCCAGAGTGGCCACCAGGGAAAGCTGGGGAGGGCTAGCCTCCCACTAGTTCGAATTAAGGGGCTACACACCCCTTAATTCGAACTAGTAAGTTCGAACTAGGCTTAGTCCTCGTAGAATGAGGTTTACCTAGTTCGAACTAAGCGCTCCACTAGTTCGAATTAAGTTCGAACTAACGGAGGGCTAGTGTAGCGCCTATGAAAGTTAATTCGAACTAACGTCCGTTAGTTCGAATTAACTTTGTAGTGTAGACATACCCTAAGGTGCCACAGGACTACTCATTTTTAAAGTTACAGATTAACATGGCAACCCTGCTGAGACTGGAGAAAACTTGTCATTCATGTGTGATTTGAAAAAAACCCCCTGAAACCCGCTTTTATTGGCAGAGGTGCCAACTGTCAGTATTCACACACACTGACTTAGTGGCAGGGGGGGGGGAGTAACATGGCAACCCTGCTGAGACTGGAGAAAACTTGTCATTCATGTGTGATTTGAAAAAACCCCCCTGAAACCCGCTTTTATTGGCAGAGGTGCCAACTGTCAGTATTCACACACACTGACTTAGTGGCAGGGTGGAGTCAGCTAAAAGCTGCATAGTGTAGACTCATATACCCTTAGATTCCCTGCCGGCCCGTTAAAAAACCCAACAGTGCGTGCATGTCTGCCCGTGCAATGACATCTGTGTGCATTTACATGTGCACACACACACAAACTCACTGCCTGTGCATTGACCCCCAGGCACAAACCATGCCAGAAGGGTGGTGCTGAATGTTCCCTTTCCCCTTACAGAAGGGAAGGGGACGGAGGGGGCGGGGGGCGGGGAGAGGAGAGCAGGGAAAGGGATTCAGGGTATGAACTTTTGAGCAAGTATTTTTATTGACAAATGAACGGTTCCTTATGCAAACTTCCAGCTGCCCCCTGCCAGCCCAGGGCACGTGGCCTGGTTGTTCCCACTCAGGCTGCAGGGGGAGCTGGGAGAGAGGCACTACAGGAAGGCCCGGCTCATCAAGCTCCCAGGGCTCCTGGGTTCTCTGCCCGGCTTGGCGAGGTGAGTGAGGGCTGGTGCATTAGAGCAGGGGGAAGGGGCCAGGACTCCTGGGTTTTCTGCTCAGCTGTGGGAGGGCAGTGAGGGCTGGTGCATTAGAGCGGGGGAGGGCAGGGGCCAGGACTCCTGGGTTCTCTGCCCGGTGGCAGCTCCTTCCCAGTTTCCAGCTCTGCTACACCAAAGCAGTGCCAGGACCCCAGAGCTCCCAGTGGTCAGAGTAGGGAGCCCAACTCAGGCTGCCCTATGGGGCAGGAGGCACCATGTGACTGACCCCTTCGTGCAACCTGGTGCCCTGGTTGTGGGGCCCAGCCACCAGGATGAGAAATGCGTCCCGGGGTGATGCCCCTATGAAAGGGGTGGTTTGTCAGTTTATTTCTATCCACAGCCCCATGGCCCCTCAGGATTTCTTTGCTGCAGGGAGGTATCTCCCAGGGCTATGCTCCGCTCCCAGCTTCCTCTACCTGCTCCTAGCCTCTCACACCCGCTCTAACCAGTAGACCCCACTTCCCTCCCAGAGGTGGGGCGAGAACCCAGGCATCCTGGCTCCCAGCTAGTCAAGAGGCCGGACTCCCTGACCCATGGCCCCTTTAGCCTGGGCACCCACAACCGGCCGTGGGCAGGGCGGAGAGGAGGGACACCCCGGGTGCCTGTGCCCAGTGGATTTCCCTGCCTGCATTGCATCTCACTTGGCCTGCTCTCCCCACAGCCCACGCCAGGATGGGGCCCCTGAGTGTGCTGCTGAGATGTCGCTGGGTGCTGGCACTGTGTGTGGCCGTTACTGTCAGCTTCAGCCTCTCTGTCATGTGGAGGCTTCAGAGGTGAGTGAGTGGGCGGCTGGGAGCCAGGACTTCTGGGCGCTCTCCCTGTTCCGGGAGCGGAGTGGGGGCTAGTGGGTGACAGCATGGTGGGGATGGAAGCAAGGGTGCCTGGGTTCTCTCCCTGGCTTTAAGAGGGTAGTGGGGGCTACTGGTTAGAGCATGGAGGGGTGGTGGGCAGAAGCCAGGATGCCTGAGCTCTCTCCTTCAGCTGGTGTTAATCTCCCTGTGTTCGCCACAGCCATTCCCCCCTGCCGGTGGAGTCGCCCTCTTTTGCTGGTACTGTCGCTGCGTCTGAGCCAGGGATCCGCTGGCCCTGCTCTCTCCCGGCCCGTGTGGGAAACTCCAGGTGGGTAGGGAAGGGGCAGAGGGGAGGGGGATCCCATGGGGCAGAGAATGAAGTGCTGACAGGGCTAGGAGGGGGATGTTTGTGGAGCTGTGGGAGGGGGAGGGATAGAGGCTTGGAGCAGGGAGAAAAGGAAGTGCCCCCGGGGGTATTTCCTGTCTTGAGTTAACGCCTTATCTTGCTTTCCAGCCCCGATGCCCTGGTGATGGACGCAACGCAGTGCCAGGCTCTGGGTCGGAACTTGACCAAGGGGGCCTTCCCTGTGAGGCAAGTGTGGTGTGGGAGGGCAGGATGCTCGGGGAGGGGGCATGACCGACTCACAGGATGGAGGCTAAACTTCCCCCTCCTCCTGCGTTGGCCCAGGCTCTCGGAGAGACCCACTGAGCATGCCCACCCTGGGGCCTGCTTCCTTGTTGATGGGCCAGGTCCCTTCCCCTGTCTCCCAGCTGGCCCTGGGCAGCCATGCAAAACACAAGGACATAAGAATTGGCCACACTGGGTCAGACTGAAGGTCCATCTAGCCCAGTATCCTGTCTGCTGACAGAGGCCAATGCCAGATGCCCCAGAGGGAGGGAACTGAACAGGTAATCATCACGTGATCCCTCTCCTGTCATTCATTTCCAGCCTCTGAAAAGCAGAGGCTAGGGACACCATTCCTACCCATCCTGGCTAATAGCCATTGATGGACCTAACCTTTATGAATTTATCTAGCTCTTTCTTGAACCCTGTTAAATTCCTAGTCTTCACAACATCCTCTTGCAAGGAGTTCCACAGGTTTACTGTGCGCTGAGTGAAGAAAAACTTCTTTTTGTTTGTTTTAAACCTGCTACCTATTAAATTTATTTGTTGACCCCTAGTTCTTATATTGTGGGAACAAGTACATAACTTTTCCTTATTTACTTTTTCTATGCCAGTCATAATTTTATAGACCTCAGTCATATCCCCCCTTGGTCTCCTCTTTTCAAAACTGAAAAGTCCAAGTCTTTTTAATCTCTCTTCATATGAACCTGTTCCAAACCCCTAATCATTTTTGTTGCCTTTTTCTGAACCTTTTCCAATGCCAGTGTATCTTTTGTGAGATGAGGTGACCACATCTGTCCTCAGTATTCAAGATGTTGGCGTACCATGGTTTTATATAAGGGCAATAAGATATTCTCCGTCTTATTCTCTATCCCTTCTTTAATGATTCCTAACATCCTGTTTGCTTTTTTGACTGCCACTGCACACTGTGTGGACGTCTTCAGAGAACTATCCACATTCCAAGATCTCTTTCTTGAGTAATTGTAGCTAAATTAGTCCGCATTATATTGTATGTATAATTGAGATTTTTTCCAATGTGTATTACTTTACATTTATCAACATTAAATGTCATTTGCCATTTTGTTGCCCAATCACTTAGTTTGGTGAGATCCTTTTGAAGCTCTTCACAGTCTGCTTTGGTCTTAACTATATTGAGCAGTTAATATGGGGGAAATTGAGGCACAGTGGGAGGGGGGTGTCTTCAACGATGATGGACAAGTCAGTGATTCTCCTTCTCCTCCCCAGGTCAGATAAGGGCTGGCCTCTTAGGCAGCTGCAACTGCTGCAGAGCTGTCCCTGGGCACATAATGCCAGTGTCCTGGACCAGTACAGGTACTCCCACCTCCACTGCTCCATCCCCCACTCCTTGGCTATGTCTACACTGGCAGCTTCTTGTGCCGGAACTGTTTTGTGGAAGAGTTCTTGCGCAAAAGTCTTCCACAAGAGCACGTCTACACTGGCATGTGCTTTTGCGCAAGAGAGTCTATGGCAGTGTGGACGCTCTCTTGTGCTAGAAAGCTCTGAAGCCACAATTGCTCTTGCGCAAGCCGTCAGCGTGGATGTAGCCCTTGTGTCTTTCCCTCCACCCCTGGGAAGGGGGTCCGAGGGACAGAGTCCTGCGGAAAGGACACAAACCACTTCCCATCTCCACATGGCCCTGCTCCACTCCCCATCCCACCATGCCCCAAACCCCTTTGTCCCACCCTTCCCATGGCACCTCTCTCCCCCGCGCAGGGAGGAGTTGGGCCGCTGCTGTAATGCCTCCGCCAACCTGGTGCTGACCTTCAACAACACCCTACTGGGCTCCCATATCATCTACGACGGGCAGCAGGCCAAGAAGCTGCAGGTGAAGGAGGAGCTGCAGGAGATGCTGCCTCAGGTAGGGGGTGCTGGGCTGCGGATGGCTGGCAGGGGCTCAGTGCTGGGTGCTCCATCCCAGAGCTGGCTGCATCTCAGTGCTGGGGGGGGAGTCTGTGTAGCCAGATGCCCCACCCCAGTGGTGGTCGCATCTCAGCGCCAGGCGGGTGGGTCTCTGTGTCACCAGTTACCCTGCCCCAGAGGTGGCTGCATCTTGGCATCCGGAGGGAGGCTCTGTGTGTAGGGTCTGTGCATGGTTGATGGCTGCTGACCCAGGTCCCTTCCCGAGCAGGACTCCCCATTTCACAATGCACCCTATGAGCGCTGCGCTGTGGTGGGGAGCGGAGGAATCCTCCGCAACAGCAGCTGTGGCTCTGAAATTGACCATGCCCAGTTCATCATCAGGTAATGGTGAGGGGAGGAGGGGGAGCAGCTATACTGGCTGGAGTGGTCTCTACAGGGTGGGAGGTGCACGGATCAGGGGGTGAGTGGTGCAGGGAATTTCACAATGCACCCTATGAGCGCTGCGCTGTGGTGGGGAGCGGAGGAATCCTCCGCAACAGCAGCTGTGGCTCTGAAATTGACCATGCCCAGTTCATCATCAGGTAATGGTGAGGGGAGGAGGGGGAGCAGCTATACTGGCTGGAGTGGTCTCTACAGGGTGGGAGGTGCACGGATCAGGGGGTGAGTGGTGCAGGGATCGGAGTGTGGGGTTCATGGGTCAGGGTGCAGGGATCGGGGGTGGGAGATTCAGGGTTTGGGGTGGGGGCAGGGATTGGGGGGAGGCAGGGACCAGGGGTGGGGAGCAGTGTTCCTGCTAAGATTTTCCAGCCCTGAGCGGAGTGAGTTTTGGCTTGTGTGCCAATATTGAGGTCATGTGGGCTTGTGCGGATGGGTGCCATTGTGGCTGTGCTCCCCAAGAGACTCCCTCAAGTCACCCCCCACCCACCTTGTAGGGAGAAGGTGATACCTCCCCCTGTCCCCCACCCCAGGAGCGCTGTTCCCTGGGCAGCCTGTGTGTGCAGGGTAGGGGCTATCCCAGGCTGCTCCCCGCGAGGCTGCTGGAGGACCCCATCTGGTGCTGGGGGTGGGGCAGTGACATGTGAGAGCGGGAGGCAGAGCCTTGACCAGCCACGCGGCTCCTCCAGAGCAGGAACCCACCGCGGGGCTCTGCAGAGGAGGTGGGGGGTGGAGAATTTGTTATGCGTGGCCACGCAGGCGCACAGCTCAGAGGGAACTGTGGGGGGGGAGGGTTCATGGATGGGGGGGACAGGAATTGGGAGATTTGGGGATTGGGGGATGCAGGGAGCAGAGGTGGGGGACAGGGACCAGGGGGTGGGGGATTCAGGGATCAAGGGGAGCAGGGACACTGCTGCGCTGTATGAAGAGCCCCTGCATGATGCACTCTGAGGAGAGAACAGGGGAGCCATGGGAACCCCCAGTAGCTGAGGAGACAGCTGCTCCCTCAGAGCCCCCCCCCTCCCCCACACTCACGCTGCTGCCTTTTTCCCAGGTTCAACATGCCTCCCTTGGGCTTTGCTGAGGACGTGGGCACCAAATCAAGCGCTGTCACCATGAACCCCAGCATCCTGCATGCCCGGTACCAGGGGGCGGGAGAGGAGTCCCTATTGGAATATGGGGGCAGGGAATTGTTACCTGTGGGGTGGGAAGGGAGGTGTCAGGACTCAAACCTACAGGGGAGGGAGGATGGGATTAGATACCAGGCCCCCACAGCTCTCCAGTCAGCCTTGGGCTCCCCAGGGATTTAGGGTAAAGGAATCATAAAGCTGGAAGAGACTCAGGAGATCATCAAGTCCAAGGCAGGACCAATCTCAACTAAATCAACCCAGCCAGGGCTTGAGACTTAAAAACCTCTAGGGAGGGAGATTCCACCATCTCCCATCCCAACGCTTCACCCCCTCCTAGTGAAAGAGTTTTTCCTAATATCCAACCTAGATCTCCCCCACTGTAACTTGAGACCATTGCTCCTTGTTCTGCCATCTGTCACCACTGAGAACAGCCTTTCTCCATCCTCTTTGGAACCTCCCTTCAGGACGTTAAAGGCTGCTATCAAATCCCCCCCCACTCTTCTCTTCTGCAGACTAAACAGACCCAACTCCCTCAGCCTCTCCTCATAGATCATGTGTTCGAGCCCTCTAATCATTTTGGTCGCCCTCTGTTGGACCCTCTCCAATACGTCCACATTCTTTCTATAGTGGGGGCCCAAAACTGGACAGTGTTCCAGATGTGGCCTCACAAGAGCCAAATAAAGGGGCATAATCACTTCTCGAGATCTGCTGGCAATGCTCCTCCTAATGGTAATATGCCATTAGCCTTCTTGGCTACAAAGGCACACTTCTTGGCTCAGTGCCAGCCCCCAGCTCTCCAGTTGGCTATAGGCTCCGCCGGGGATGGGACAGAGGAGACTGAGCGATGCGGTGGCCGCAGGAACAGGGCTGGGACCATGGTTCATGGGGGAATCTCTCCCTGCCTGCAGGTTCAGGAGCCTAAATCACCACCGTGGTCCTTTTGTTGAGGCGGTGGGAGCCTATAGGGCCCCCCTGCTCCTCATCCCGGCCTTCAGCTTCACTGGCTACATGCAGGTCTCGCTCCGGGCATTCTACGCTCTGCAGGAATTCCACTCCCCAACACACGTCCTCTTCATGAACCCCAAGTACCTGGCGGGGCTGGACAGGGGCTGGCGGAGCCGC